ACACGGAGGAGATGGATTGCTTAAGTTTAGAGTTTGGAGTTAGAGATATTAATATTTGTTTACTTGTAGTTGAATGTTAGCCTAGGTTTGGTTTGGGAAGTCTGGGGGGTAGGGGGATGGGATAAATCATTGTGTAATACTTGTGATGTATTTTTTTGTTTATGATAAAAACAATAAAATTCTATATTGAAAAAAAAAACAAAACAAAAAAAAAAACAATGTGACTTTCGGCTGGTGCAGCAGGGTGATCGGCCATCTTGCAGGCCGATCTTTGCTCCGTTGGCCCTAAGGAGAAGCTGGAGACTCGGGGGAAGCTGCTGCCCCCTCTATATACCAGCAAGCCTCCTCCTCGGTGGTCGCCCCTCCAGGGCAACTTTCGACCCCCTAGGGGGTCTACCGGCGAAGGAAACTCCGGACGGCCTGGAGAGAAGTTTCCAGGCACGACCGGCATCGCCGCATTCCAAAACCGGAAGTCATTGTTGTTGTTATTATTGTTATAGCCTAAGTCTGTTTAACATCCAACCCCAGACAAGGTTGGCTTAGCTGAGACATTTAGCTATTAACATTAATATTAGCTGGAATTTCAGCTGGAATGTATCCTAGAGTTGACAACTATTGTAAAACATTTATGAAGAATGGACTAGTATTATCCAGCTTACTTCTAATCTGGTTTTGCCAGAGTCAGAAAAGAAGTTGACATTAGGTTAATCATTGCCCTCAGTGTTCACAAGTAGCTTAAATAAATTATTGGCCTTACCGAGAGCTGCTGATGTAATCCTTTCATTTGGATTGACAATCACAGGCATATTTTTTTTCTTTTGTTCTAGTGAAAAAATCAGGAGAAATCATTAGATGTTTGGAAAAAACATATTATCATTACAATATGTGTGCATTCTAGTAACTGCTATAAGAGCATAGTAATATTTTCCAAAGAACTAGAGAAAACTGAAAACCAGCAATCAAAAATGTCAAAGTCAATATTTGGCCCAGGTTCTGGTTCATGTTGAACTATAATCTAGGCTCCAAGTAAAGCTATTGTAATGCTATTTGCAGGAGCAGCTTTCTGTTGGCAGAGAGTTGAAGCATAAGGATTATTTTATACTACCCAGAGTCACTTGCAGTGAGATGGACTATTTAAATTTGATTCATTAATAAAATAAAGATAGCCTACTCAGCCTAGGAGTACTCCAGAAATATGGACCTCATTTCTTAGAATAGCTAATCCTTTGTGTTGTTTAGATTTGCTTTGTGAGCTCCAGAGCAGAATTAACTAATCTGGCCCACTAGAGCAGAGGTCCCCAAACTTTTGGGCACCAGGGACTGGTTACGTGGAGATTTTTTTGTGGACCGGAGAGGGCATGGTTTTGTGTGCTGCCTGCATCCTGCGGATGGGGCTTTGCTTGTTTGTACAGCCCAATTGCTGGCATGCCGCGGCCTGGTATAGTCCAAAGACCGGGAGTTGGGGATCCCTGCACTAGAGAGTGTGAGAAATGGGGGCTGTAACACCAGTAGGCCCATAGTTTGTCCCAGCTGTATTAAGCAGAAAAGGACATAGCTTATAGTTTGAAGAAAATGCAAAACACCGAAATAGTTCTTGTTCTCTTCAAGTTACAAAATCACAAAAACAAAGAGCAAAGGTTGAATATGGGATGGTTTTCAGCATCAGACTGGGCAGTTGAAAAGAGACAACTGGTATAGGATAGGATAGGATGGGATGGGATGGCATGGCATGGCATGGCATAGCATAGCATAGCATAGCATAGCATAGCATAGCATAGCATAGCATAGAATAGAATAGAAATGTTATTGTCACTTTAAATGTACACTAATCAGCATACATTAAAATGAAATTTCATTCCATTCAGCTCTAAAAAAAATACCATTATGCATATACCCCCCTATACACACATATATGACACAGAGAAACATCACAGCCTAGTTCGAATGTATACATATACATGGTGGGGGGGAAATAATCTTGTGACTTTACAAGATGGATGGCATAAGAAATAAAGCTGTTACAGAAACTAGTAGTTCTGCTATAAATATAGGAATTAGCACTGATGCATGCTGGAGTATAGCACATATACTAAAGTCCATTTCCAGTGCTACCTTTTACCTCAGGTTAGCCTTTTAAGTGGCATGATGGATTTCTTGTCTTCACTACCTAAAACACAGAGGTAAGACTTCACTAGTCTTTCTGAATTTTATAGAATATCTGTACTAGTTGGAAACATTTTAACATTGGGAAAGAGGAGAAATGTGCTGTTTACTCTGAGTTGTTAAAG